ATTTAAGGAAAATTTGAACAAGATTTAAGCTAAATCCCGTCACATAATAAGTTATAACCTCTTTTTTCATTCTTTACCTCAACAGACTCAAGGGATTTATGGGATTTGGCCAAATAAACACGTGATAGGGATAAAGTTATCTTCACAGTGAGCGAGCTCCTTCTTTACTTCCAATCAAAATGTCATAACTTTCGAATCGACAGGCAAGGGAATGTTTTTGAAGGCTTCGACTAGGGCAGAGAGCAAGCAGGCAGAGGCGAAAGGCACGGTTTAGCTAGGTAAGGCTTTGATCGGGCCTTAATCGGAGATAGGTAGGGAGATCGAGAGTTGGATGGATGTCGGCTACTGGATGAGTTGAAGTGGTCGGCTACAGTTAAGAGTCAGGACCGGCTTTGCTTTGCGAAAGGTTGGGTGCGAGGTTGGAGCGGGATAGGGTTCGGCATCGGATAGAGGGGAAGAGGTGGGACTAGGGGTCTTCGATCGACTAGGAAAGGAGTTCGGGACTTGCTGCAGGCAGGAGGTTTGCGAATGGAGAAAAACCAAGAAGGGAAGGGCTCTGTTTGACCTCCTTTTAACGCAAGAGAGAGGCGAAGTCTTCCACACATGGGTATAGGCGACTGCAACTTGTTCAAAAGCGGCGCCGTTTGCAAACTGTAGGACATGACTTCGATAGGGATTTGCAACAGGTAATGAATTTGGCGATATCTTTTTTTTTTTTTTTTGGTTCTGTCTTTGAGGTCAACAAATGATTAAAGTATAGCTCCCACTTTCAACAATAAAATCTCACATTTTTCTATAGCTACCCTCTTCTCCTGTTAAATTGAGAACAATCTGTTCTTTTATTTCATCCATTGCATTATATATAAAGCCTACTAATTGCTTCTTCTCAACATCGATCATCCTCAATACTTGCACCAATGGCCAAGTTGTTTTTATAACATATAGTACAGTCTATCATAATCTAGCATTCAGAATAATTTTTCTAACATCTTTTCTCTCTGCTATTCTTGCTAAAGCACAACTCAAACACTAGGTCGAAGTAAATTTATCCTTTAAAGGTCGCCTTGCCTCCAACATACTTTGCAATGTCAGATGAGATATGGAAAATCTTATTGCAACAAGCCTTAGAATCTTTTTCTTTGAGAATTTTCTTGCAACAAGCCTTAGAATCTTTCTTTCAGAATTTTCTCATAAATGCTAAAACCCAAGAATGATTATGTATAAATTTGTTGATCATATTGGCTTTAGTTAGTAAACTCTTATGCTATAGAAACTCCCCGAATTTCTTAATCATCAGATCTATACAATGTATGGCATATGATATCCAATATATGTGCCTCCTTTTCTCCATCAATTTTATACCTGCTTCCCTATAAGCATCGACATCATCTGTCACTAATTGAACCAAGTGCTCCCTTATCTCTTCAATGATGCGGTAGAGTAAACCCAAAAAAAAAAAACTCAGCATCCTTGACATGGTCACAAGCCTCAATAAACTTCAAGAAAATTTTGAAGTATGAATTATTTATCAACATATTACTCAAGCTTCTGTTTTTTATATCAAATCATCCATCAAACATGATAGTGACACATGTTAGGATCCAAGTCTTCTTAATTTCTTCAAATGTTTTTTTTAGTGTTTGTTGGCTCCAGAACCAACGTTCTCAAATCATACATGGATGAGGGTTTCAAACCTCAACCATAAGCTCAAGATGGAATGGATCATGTTGTAAAAGGAATGGGAGGTTGCAACATTAATGGGATAGCATTCTCATAAAATAATTTGCCTATATTCATACATACGCATGGGCGTGCCTCCCTACCAATCTATCAGGGCAACTTCTATGATGTGCAAGATCTATTTCCATGTCTATCATCCTCCTTATTCACCATGTAATGATCCATACAAGCCCTTGCATTCCTACTGGATATGGGAATCAATAATGATAATGAGTCACGACCACTACGCTTGCTCCCATATTACAATCCAACATCCACTCTGTCATCAAAATGTCATTGCACCAGATGCTTCAACATTCTTAATTTGTTCATGTATGATATGATATCCTCCTTTAATCGTTTCTAGCACTTTGGCACATGGTGCTATATTCTTGTGTGATTCAAGTGATCCTTCATTCTGATTATATCACCATTTACCACCTTGTCATAATAATAACATTTTAAATATACATAAGTTTTATCATCGCCTCCTACATCAACTTAAACGTTGTATTTCCATGTTGGGTCCTTATGACCCAACATACATTCTTCCTAGCCTCTAAACATTTTCAACAAACCCTAGAATGAAACAATTGATTCAAAGTTGAGAACAATAAAACATGCAAATAATGAAACAAGCAATCTTAACCATGTAAGTAAAATGGATTTATTCAAACAAAAAAATAGGGTTTCAAAATTTTCAAGAAAAGAATTTGAAAGAGGTGGAAGAGTATTGAAACAGAAAAAAAGTTCAGTAATAGAAAGAGGTGGAGGTGGAGGTGGAGGTGGAGGTGGAGTTAGGCTCACAAGGGTTCACTGGTAGCAACGGAGGGGGGCTATAGGTAGGGAGAGAATGCAACTTTTACTAGACGAGAACATGCAATTCTTTGTGCAGTCTTGATTTCGGCTATCGGGTGCATGCATACGACTGCTTCATATCAGGTTTTAAAATTATATTACTTCTAATAAAATAATTTAGAGCTAAGGCCGAAGAGGCGAGGTGCACCTCAACCAAATCGGGGCGTGTGCCTCATAAGAATGACTCAAGGCGTGCGCTTTGAGGCATTTTTCCCTATAATTGTGTTGAGGTGTGTCTTGAGGCATGCCTCGTATGATGCAATTTAAAACAGAGAGCTACACTAGTGGCCCTTCTACTAACCCCAATTCCACTTAAAACCAAGAAAATGGATGTTCGTTAGGTTCGCAAATCCATGAACATTGAATGTAACAATAATGCTTGGTTTATCAACCAAGCCAAAATTTTACTTGAACTAATATAACTAATTATATTTTATAGAATATGGAATTCTATGATTAGCTTATTTTTTTATGAACCATTTCTTGCATATAATTTAACATTTTCACTTCTATCAAATAAGCATAAGAATGCAAAAAAGAGCATAACACAGTGCACGAAGCTCCCATCACTACAAGTCTTGGATTGGTTGAAACAAAATTATATAAATTGTAAGTATTTAAAATCAATGTTGGCATTGCATAGAAGAAATGATGGCTAATACTTTCATATAAAGTTTTTCTCATTAGGAAGTACATTATAAATTCTGTGATCTTTAAGCTAGAACTTTAATGGATATATAGGACAACCATTTTACTAAAAAAGGATTTATTTAAATACAATAATGCACATATTATATAATAGTATAAGTAGTTAGATATTCTTTAAATTTGACCATATTAAATGTCAACAAAAAGATCTGAAGTGAAACTAATGGCAAAATACCAAAAGTAACCAAAATTATCAAAACTGAAATCCATTCAAACCTTAAATGAAAACTGAAATTAAAAAACGGTTTTCTGATATCCATCAAAAGTATAGTTCACATGAAGCATAACAGTGCAAAAAAAAGGTTAGAATCATTTGATAGCGGAAGAAAAATGTACAATGCTCAAATAAAATTCCAATGAGACATTACAGAGTGGCTGAAATAGTACGGAATAGTCTGGAAAAATTAATGCAACTACAACAACAATATTAAGCTTTGATATCACTATGTGAGGTCGGCTACATGAATTCTTTTTCTACATTGTGTCCTGTTAAGAGTTAAATTCTCATTTAAATCTAGTAAAGAAATATCATTTCTAATATTTTTTAATCAAAGCTTTTCAGGTCTACCTCTATTTTTTTAACATAAGTCAAATCGAGTACATCTACTTTCCTAACTGGGTCATCAGAAGACGGCCGTTTTATGTGACCAAATCATCTAAGGTGACTCTAATCTTATCTTCCACTGGAGCTACTCCAAACTTTCACATATATGCTCATTTAATATCATGTATCTATGAGTAAAGCCACTCATCCACCAGAGTAGCCTCATCTCTGCAACACTTAACTTAATATTATGCTTCTTTTTTAATGGCCAACATTCTGTACCATAAAGCATTGCAGGTCTAACCACCATCTTATAGAACTTTTTCTTAAGTTTGAGGGGGACTTTTCTATCACACAACAAGCCCGATGCATTCCTCCACTTCAACTATCCAACTTGAATTCTACTAATAATATCCCCATCTATTTCACCATCATTCTAAACAATAGACCCGAGATATCAAAAATGTGTACTCTTATTAATGACTTGATTACCCAAGTCACAATCACCCCTCTAGATCTATTATTACTAAAATTACACTCCATATATTCAGTTTTAAATCTACTCAAACGAAAGCCTTTAGACTCTAAGTTTGACCTTTATAATTCAAATTACCTTCAACTGCCTCTCTAGTCTTATCAACAAGAAAAAAATCATCAGCAAAAAGCATACACCAGGGTACAACCTTTTGCAAATGTCTAGTGAGAACATCCATATGACTAAAGCAAAAAGATATGGGCTTATAGTTGATCCTTGATGTAATCCAACTAAAATAGGAAAATACTTGGTCAAACCACCTTGTGTTTGAACAAGTAACAGCTCCTGCATAAATATCCTTAGAGACTTGAATATAAACATTATTAACCCCTTTCTTTTCCAGAACTCTCCAAAGCACTTCTCTTGGAACTTTATCATATACTTTCTCTAAATCAAAAAATATCATATGCAAATCCTCCTTATTATATATATATATAAGAAAAGGTAAAGTTTGCAAATGACATTATGTCTAACAGAAACTGGCACATCAGCATATAAACCATCTTCTGATGACAAATGCACATATAAATCCACTTGCAAACCTGAACAGAGATGTACCCATTTTAAAATTAAAAAACTTTTTTTTTTCAATGATGCAGTTGTTGAATCACATTTTTTATCAGATATCTAACTTACCTTTCTAGGAGGTGTTCCTGGCCTCAACAAGTTGTTCCCCAACCCAAATTTTCCTTTTTTATCAGATGGTTTCAGAATCTGAAATGAACAAGTCAAAGTGTCATCCACACTCATCATAGCACCAGCATTGTCAAATTCCCCACAATAGTTGGGTGCAGAAAATATTGTCACCAGCTGTCGATTTGCAAAAAACTCATAGCCATCTTCAACAACCTACATTAAGCAAAAAATAATGAATAGAGGAGTAAGTTCAACCATGAACTTGAACAAACTCAGTGTGGAAGAGAGCTTAACAAAGAGGAGAAAAAAAGAGCAAAAAATAGGAGCTGCCTGTTTTTTTTTTCGGGCTTAGTTATAAAAGTAAATACAGCTCATCATAATCCTACTAATGCCAATATTTTTGTTGCATGAGAATTGGAGATATTTATAAAGTGATTGAACAATATAGCATGTACAGTACAAGAAGGTGACCAATACGAGTTAGCCAGCTTCCTCAAGCCCAAAAAAACAATAATGTATTTTTTCTATTTTTACAGAATGTTATAAGAGTATGGCAAACATTTTATCAAAGATTTACATTCAGGATACTGAGTTTTTTTACTTACTATCACCAACATGTGATGCTATAGAAAGAAGCTTGTTCTCTTACACGAGAAACACATGTAAATGTAGCACTTCAAGCCCTCAAGCTCTTCTTACCTGGTGTGCACGGCAGATAAGGTCCAAGTCATGCTTTTGAAGAAACTCGCCAACCTTGTCTGGCCCGAATGTATAAGATACACCTCTATCATTCTCTCCCCAGCCTTCAATATCTTTATCAGGATCAGACCATAGTAGATCACAAAGAAGACCTTGGTCAGGGACGTCTGCAGGGCGAGCAATATTACGGATCTGATCCAAGTTTTTCAGGTCAGGAGATAAGCCTCCATGCATGCAAAGGATCTTCTCATCAATAAGAGCAGCAACTGGGAGGCAGTTAAAACAATCAGTAAAAACCTTCCATAGTCGAACATTAAACCTTCTCTTGCACTCATCATAAAAACCATATATACGGTTGATTGATGCGCACTCATGGTTTCCTCTCAGAAGAAAAAAGTTCTCTGGATATTTTATCTTGTATGCCAGAAGAAGGCAAATAGTTTCAATGCTCTGCTTGCCACGATCAACGTAGTCACCAAGAAACAAATAGTTAGCTTGTGGGGGGAGTCCTCCATATTCAAATAATCGGAGAAGATCAGAATACTGCCCATGAATGTCACCTGTCAGTAAGAAAATCATATTTGAGCATGCATGAAGTTTCTCCGTCCGGTTAGAAAACAATAATCAACATTTGTATGTAAAAGGTATGAAATCTCACCTTAAGTACCAAATTGCATTAAATTCACGGATATTGCCGAAACAAAAAAGCTCATGATTCGGAAAGGTAATGCCTTACTAAGGAAATTGATGAAAAATAAATAACCCAGTTTATTATCCGAGTGTTGTTGAAGATCTACATGCTAAAACCATCACATGGGTAGCCAAAGACCAAACTAGTAAATCATAGTAATTGCATTTACAAACTTCCATAAGAATACCTTTAATGATAACATGTTAAGACAACCAGCCCAATTTCAAGAAAATATTAAAAAAAAAAAAACAAGTATGCAGCATAAAAAAGAATTATGCGGGCATTCGAAACTGAAATTCCCACAAAAAATTTAAAACTGCTCACGCTAAGGAAATCACATAGGGAAAGTGGAATTAGAGTCATATTTGCATATAATGACATAAACATTAAAATAAAATACTTGCAGAATATGAAGCTTAAATATAAGTAAACCACAACAAAATCAAATGTGTGAAAGCCGTTAACTAAATCCAGTGGCTGAAAATATTCGAATATGCATCAACAACCCCAAACATCCAATGCTGGTGCATCTAAGAACTATAAAAAGATGCCTACGTCCAACCATCATATCCGCTCAGGAATTCTTGCCAGCAACTAATACTATAAAAAGTTGTAAAACATATTGGAAGCCTCGATTGCCTCAAAAAGAAAGTCTAAGAGACCCCAAACAACATCCATGTGCATTGAAGGACTCAATAGATTCATTTGGATATTCCAGGGCGTTTAGGGGTGTCTATAGTACATTTGTACATCAAAAGTTACATCATTTTTGGCCAATGTTGTACTGTTGTATATATTCTTTATGTTTTAATGTTGGTTAGATTCCTTTCATTTTCCCTATAGAGGTCTATATATATTAACATGCGTTCATTATTATGAATCAATAATAGAAGAATCATTTTTTATTAAACATCTTTTTCACACATGGTAACAGAGACCCAAGTTCTTTTTCGCAATTTCTTTTTGTCCCAATCTTTTTCTGACTGATTTTCAGCCTTCATTAAAGTTCCCCAACGCATATGTTCACCCTCAGGAAAGGGTGAAAATGTTTCAGCTACGAAACAAACCCCATTTTCACAAGCCTAAGATCCCATTTTTCCCGAGGTAGATTGAATTTTTAATTTAATCAGATTACCCTTAATGATTGGCATTAGAGTTTATTTCGTTGTGAGATTCCACTTCCTATGAGCGCAAGCCCTCATGGTTAATCACCCCTTTTAACGCATTGAAAAGCACTCTCGATTAAGGATGAAAGGATATTTAGTTATGCAAGAAGTGTAGAAGTGTGCAAGTGTTTTATTATTAGTTATGGGGGATGAAGGTACACCCGATCAAGATCTCATGATTCCGTCGTCCCGGGTATACCCTGGGTTTCAATCTACCAACACTAACAACCATTGATTGTAGTGTCCAGGGAATCTGATTAGCAGTAATGGGTTGCCTCCTCTCAGGAATCTCAAGTAAACTGAAGTTGGTAGATGTAGATTTTAATTTTATTATTGTTTGGGTTGGGACTCAGCTCAGCTTAAGAGCTGCCCATATTTATATTTAGAATAGGTTTTATGACCCTGTTTAGGAGTTGCCTATAGTGTGGAAGTAGCTGTAGCCTTAGTGGGTCTTACGGCCTTTATTAGAGGTTGTCCAAGTATGAGTTAAAAGTAGTCTTATTGCTTCACTTGAAAGTAGCTCGTAGCGGGTCTTACGGCCTTTACTTAATTTGATTAAATAGATTAAAGTTAAAGTTTAAATTAGTTTCAATTAAAGTTTTGAGTTAATTAAGAATTTATTGAATCTTAGTTTAAATTCGAATTTTAAATTTCACTTTTAAAATTAAATAAATTAATTAATTTAACCATTTAATTTTTCTCATTTACTTAATATTATTATTATTATTATTATTATTATTATTATTATTAAGTTAAATTAAATGCTTTCAAAAATTTTCCAAAAATATGCTAAGTCCAATATTATCAGGGATATTTCGGCAACATTCCGACATCCACTCCCCGCGAGAGGAGGGCACTTGCCTTTTCTAGTCCGCCCAGCCTGATAAGATTCAACGACCGAGGCTTTGAGACGTTGTTTGGGCTTGCAAATTGTCTCTAAATCCTCTGATTGCGATGTTTGTTGCCTTTCTTTTGATAATAATAATTACCATTATTATGAATCAAAATCAATGATTAATAAGGCGTTCGAGGCGGATGCCTCGAGGCGCGCCTCGAATCGAGGCGGAGGTCGGGCGAACTGAGGCTTAAGCCTCGAATGCTCGGGGGAGGCTTACGCCTTTTTGCACGGAGGCGTACGCCTCACCGCGTGAGGCGTCGAGGCGCATCGAGGCGGCGCCTCGAAAGTGAGAAAGTTACCTTCACAGTCAGCGAGCTCCCGTTGTTTCTTCCGATCAAAATGTTGTAGCTTATGATCCGACAGTTGACCACGCGACCTGACCGGGCAGGTCGAACCCCGCCAGGGGGCAGCGCCCCCTTGGACCCCTGGCAGACTGGTATATTTTTGTATTCATGTTATTTTATTATTGGTAGTCCAAATAATTGTTATTTTTGTTATTTTTTATCATTATTTAAAATTTTAAATTAATTTATATTAATCGTTTTGAGGCTTACGTCTCGATCCGCCTCGAGGCTTACGCCTCGCCTCACTTAAAAAAAACGCCTCGATTCCCGATTTCGCCTTTTAAAACCTTGATCAAAATTAATAATATTTTTAATAATAATAATAATAGAATATAGTAAAGCACTCTTCTTTGCTTATTTTGCTCACGTTTCACGAAACAGTGGAATCGTGCTTGGGCAAGACGAGGGCAGAGCCTGGGGTTTGCAATTCTTGTTTGTGTGAGGCCTTCGGATATGAATATGTTAATTCACGTGTTGAAGTTGGACGTAGATAGGGATCGAGTCAGGCTACAGTAAGAGGAAGGAAGCGGATTGGTCTGGAAGTCGGGCATGGAGGCATGCGGAAGTCACGGTCGGAGGCGGAATTGACAAGTGAGGGGCTCGTCTAGAGACAGAATCCCAATTGGGCTTGGATTGGCCGAATTGAAGGCTTCGGTCTTGCTCAGAATAGGACACCTACACAAGAAGGAGACCAGAGTGGGTTTGTCGTGTGGAACATATAGGGAAAACAGCAGACCAAAGCCAACGACTCAAGGCCAAGCGGCATGAGGTTGGGTTCTCATACGGCACGAGAGATGCGGCTCGAGAGACTTCCATGCTGTGTGTCTCTGTCTAGGTGTCGCGATTGGGGCAAAGGAATTGGAGGTGCGATTGAACTGGAAGATTGCGATCGAATTGACAAGAGAGGTGGAGCTATTCGGTCGCAGGTGAGTAAATAGGCAATTCGAGAAGCACCAACGTCAGAGGAAGTCAGAGCATATTCGAAAATCGGTGTGGGATCGAGAGCAATGAACCAGAGCAGAATCTGATTGTGAGCTTAAGTCCCCTAAGTTCTTTTCTCCATTTCCTCTTATGCAATTGAGGGAACAATTGCTCCAAAGCAATTGACCAGTTCTACAACATGGGAATGTGGCAACATGCTTCGGTTATGTCTCTCTCTTTATTCGACAACTACTTCAGCCAAATTTGCTCAAATTATATTTAATTTTGTAATTGAAGCCTAATAATTCATCTTTGTTGTTCAGATATCATAATAAGACTACATGGTTATTATGATTATTTTTTTAATATTCTGTTGATATGTATGAATCGTAAGATCCCTTCCCAACAAATATTGCCACCTCTATTAATTGCATGTTTTTTCCCAACCACATGGCAAACCACAATCTCCACTTCTTAACTCAATCCCAACTTTGAATTAAGTTTCAACATTGAAATTTTTTTAATCCATAATCCCTTTTATCAATTTGTTGCTCTCTCATCTCCATCAACGGAAGTGCAACATATCCAAATCAAAATTTCATTGGTGATCCAAGTTCCTTGTCGTCAACTTTTGTCGCCTACAATAACCATAATTTTTTTAAAAGAAAAGCAAAAAAAGTACAGCAACATCGGGGACTCCACAAGAATGTAATTGATTAGTTGAGAACTCTACTAAAGGCTCTCCAGAAACCTTCACATACTAATGCATTGATGAATTCAAGCGAGTTTCTCGTCTCCATGGATTAAATATCTCAAATAAAGCTTTGTCAACTTTTAGGTAATGTACTCAAGAGCCACTAATCACATCAATTTAGCACATATACGCTATGTCCAACTGACCAAGCAACAGAGACATTGAACAACAGATCATTTTTGAACAGAAATAGTTAGTCTAGGAAATGCTCAGATTAGTTTCTTACTTGTATTAAAAGATGTTCTACATATTTAAAAGCTATCTGCTAGCCAAATTAAAATAAAAAAATTTACTAAAAATTTGTATATCAAATATCATCTCTAACCCTACTCATGATGTCTTTTAGGATTAGGATTCAAGAAAGATGATTTAATGTGCCATGGAACGAAATGAATTTTATTATCTAGAGATGTAAAGCAATCTAACTGATAACAAGAGTAAATTACAATAGTGATTTCTTTCTGAGCATTCTTTATCCAATAAAGACAAAACATGGCTTTGTCATCATAGACTATAACATCTATCATTTAGGATTCCATAATATTGTTTTTTTTTTTTTTTCCTTCTCTATGCAAGGGAACTTAATATTTAACCTTCCAAAGTAATGTGCATGAACTTAAGAAAACACAAGCATGCACTTTTTCCAATATAATGCTGTCTTTAAAAGTTGATGCATCCATGCTACTTGTCTTTAATAATGTGGGAAGTTCAATATTATCTAGTATATTAACCTCGTCAAGATGAATGCATATGCGTAAGAAATTAATGTAGTTATTTAGAAGTATA